AACCTCCCACATGGAGAAGCTTTTAAATAATATGCAGATACAACTTAGTACAATGATGAAAACTATGATGGAGTCCTTGTTACAAAGTTTAGTGCCAACCCTAGCTTCTTAATGAGTTTGTCATCATATCGACTTAAAATTGTGACGTGGAATGCCAATTCCATTATTAACAAGAAACATGAGGTCATCCAATTCCTGCATGATTTTGAAATTGACATTATGTTGATCCAAGAAACATTTCTGAAACCTGCTATCCATTTTAAAATTCCCAATTATGTTGTTTACAGATCAGACAGAAACTCAAGAAGAGGTGGTGGCACAGCCATCGTGATTAAATATGGCATTAAACATCATGCTACAATTTGCAACCAACAATCGCTCGAAACAACATCTGTACTGGTTGAAAGCCAACTTGGTAATATAAATTTTGTGTCAGCATACAGGCCACCGAGTTTGCAAATTCTCCCTAATGAACTTGAGGTTATCCTCAACAACGAGACACCTACTTTCTTAGCGGGCGATTTAAATGCATATCATAGCAGCTGGGGTGACAGAACTTCAAACAGAGCTGGCAGGGATATTGATGGGCTCGCCACTGAACACTTATGGCAGATTCATGCGCCAGGTGAACCGACACATTATGGCAGAATCACAGGCCACGTCATTGACTTCGGAATTTCAAATAACTTAGAATCGAATGTGCACGTAGAGGTCCTTGATGAACTGGACTCGGATCACAAACCAGTTCTTTTTATTCTTGAAAATTGTCCAGCAATCAACATGAATCTCACGTACATAACCACTAACTGGGACTCATTTAAGAATCAGGTTGATATTTCAAATATAAATAATTGGCCAGTAACTTCTGAGGATCTTGATGACTGTATCCAAAAACTCACTCTCAAGATTAAGGAGGCATTGGATAATAGCTCCACCACCAGGATCAGAAAACCAAGTAACTACTTTTATCTGCCGCATTACATCAAACAAATCATTAGACAAAGGAATGCGATTCGAAAATTTGCTCAAATAACTGGAGATCCTTTGAGAAGAAGAGAAGCCAATCGTCTCTCTAATGTAATCAGGAAAAAAATTGGCAAATACATATAATAATGATAAATGGTGCGAATTTCTTTCAGGAATTGATACAGGTAATAAAACCTTCTGGGCTTTGAACAAGTATTTTAGGCTTAAACGTAAACCGGTAGTGCCGCCTTTTTATGTAGCTACCGGCATGGCTTTCTCAGACATAGCCAAAGCTGAGGCCTTTGCAGATTCTTTGGAGCTGCAATTTCAGCCCAATACTGATAGTGACTATAATTCTCTGGTAGAAGAAAATATTGCCGAAGAGGCTGCTAATCTTAGGAACCTGATGTCAGATGAAAGCATCTTACAGTGTTCCAGAGATGAGATTAAATGTATTATTTCGAGTCTAAAGACCAGATCGGCACCCGGATATGATAATATCAGTAACAAATGCCTACGTAATCTTCCAGAAGATGCAATCCAATGCATTGTTAACATCATCAATTGCATGCTTAGGCTTGGCGAATTTCCAAAGGCCTGGAAGTTGGCCTCAGTCGTAGTGTTTCCTAAACCGGACAAGAATCCTTCATTTCCGCAGAACTGGCGTCCTATCAGTCTGCTCCCAACTATGGGGAAATTGGCAGAACGTGTAATCCTGACTAGGCTTAAAACAGCGGTAAATGCCCTAAATATACTTCCTGACGAACAATTCGGGTTTAGGGATAATCTCTCCACGGAACTACAACTAGCCAGAACTGCGCAGCTGATACAAACCGCTCTAAGTAAACGGGAGTCAACCGGGATGATTATATTTGACATAGCCAAAGCTTTTGACAAGGTCTGGCATGATGGTCTTATAGTCAAATTAGCCCGTTTTGGGATCCCTAGTGGTTTGATTAAAATCATTGGTAGCTTCCTGCAAGAAAGGTCCTTCCGTACTAAAATTAATAGCACTCTTTCGTCCGCCCGATCAATTGTAGCAGGTGTACCTCAAGGGTCGCCTTTGTCTCCCACATTGTTTAATGTATACACGGCAGACATCCCCACCTTAAGTCCCACATCAATGGCGCTTTACGCAGACGACACATGCTTGATCTACTAGGATCGGGATGCCTTAAATGTAAGCAACACGTTACAGGGAAATATAGACCTTATGGTGGAATACTTCCAAAAATGGAAGATTAAAATTAATAATGACAAAACCAAGGCTATATTTATAACTCGAAAAAGAAGACAGCATCCTCCAAGAGTGAGCGTTTGCGACACGGAGATACGGTGGGAGGATAACATAAAATATCTGGGGGTCACTTTTGACAAACGGTTCAATTGGCTTAAACATTTAAAATACAAACGGAATAGCTGCTCTAAGATTCTACATTTATTAAAGCCGCTATTTAATAATTATCACTTCAACTTTAAAAACAGAAAGCTACTTTATACGCAAGTAATTAGACCTGCTCTTCTGTACGGATGTGTTACATATAGCAAAGCCTCAAATACCACCTTAAAGCAATTACAGATAGCTCAAAACCTGGCCTTAAGAAAACTGTTTAAGATTCCATGGTACATTAGATCTACGGACATACATAGAGATCTTAGGATTGACTCAGTGAAAAAATATATCAGAGACAGAGCTTTAAAATTATTCACTAAAGTTGATACGCTACTTAACCCCGCCATAACAATCCTCAAGTCCACTTCTGGACTCTCAGGAAGATATGCTGATTTAAGGTCCGTCATCAACTAAAAGACAAATAAATGATATGATTTTTTAGCCTAGTTAAAGCCTAGTGTGGGGTAGTGATTAACCCCCCAGTCATTATAGAGTAAAAGTGCGTAATAGCACTAACTCAAGAAGAAGAAGAAGAAGAAGAAGAAGAGTAAAATTTTTGACGAGAACATTTTTTTTTTAATAATTTGTCAACGTAATTTACTGACAAATCTGTATGTCAACGAAACGTCAAATATTTCTTGAAGGTTGTCAAAGTTATGTTACGTTTTTATCAATTTTCTGATTTACATATTCAAATTTTTAGACAATTTTAGTCTAATATTTTAGGTTTTATAATTTAAGATTTTATCTTTTTTAATCTTTTATCTACAAAACGTTAAAGTTGAACAGTTTTTCCTTCAAATTACTCGGCTTTTTAAATCAAACTTAAGGTTGACTGTCGTTAATTAAAAATACAAACTTATTTGAAGAAAATGTGGATAAAAACTGATTTTCCTAATGCTTATAAATGTATTTGTTTTACTTTAGCGACACGTGGAACTTGTAAAATCCAAGCCTGGGCCTGTGTGAATTGCAACCTCTTCTGCTTTCCTCATTGCACCAATAATGAATTTCCCAAGAAATGTGCATTGAAGTGAAAGTGTACAATCAAACAAAAATGAAAGAAAATATGTGAAAGCTATTTTCTTGTTCTGGGAAATTACATTCAATATTGACGCTGATTTCCAATGAAACTGATTTCTTACCCGGAAAAATGTCAGAGTAACTAAAATGAAAATTTTTTCCTACGAAAACAAAAAGAAAACCATAAAGTTTATTAAAAAACCGTAAACGTTTCATTGTGGTTTGTAAAACGCACATAAATAAGCGCCATTTTTTTCTTCTTCAAACAATTTTACTACATTTGTTAGCACTGGCAGGATTGGCAGCACTGGCGACATTTTCCACATCGCTTGAAATGCCAGTCACGTTTCAAGTGCGAGATGAACTGCGTAATGCACACAACGAAAAGCGCAAAGACAGACGTTCTTCCTTCCACACTTTTTTCTTCCTTTTTTTTCGCTGCGTTCCAACTAGAAATTGTAAGTGATTTGCTTAGCAAGTGGGAGTTGGGAGTTGCGAGATGGGAGATGGGAGATGGGAGATGGGAGGTATGTGTTTTCGTATAGTCTATAAGTAGTGCCTTGTGACTCAAGGTAATTCCACGTTATTCCTGCCTTGAGTGAATACTGTGAGTTCTGCCAAATTTTCCTACCTTTCCACTGTTAGTTTGGCGATTGTGGAAACTGCTCTGTTTGTGTTGCTTTTAGGCGCTTCAGTGGGTTTGTTTTGTTTTTTAAGTTTATTTTCTATGGCAAGGTAACTTACAGCAATGCATACTTAACTTTTGTATATATAAACAATATATTTTATATACACACAAAAACATCTAAAGGCATTTTAACGGGCCTGAAAATGTCTCTCGTTTGCCATTTAAAGTCAAAGCGCCACGTACCACTTAGACTGGTTTATTTTGTAAATTAATTTTTGTTTTACCTTTGGGCCATTTTTACCATTTATTATGCAATTTTATTATTTTAAATGAACACAAAATAAAAGAAAATTTTTTTTATTTGAATTTAAATTGCATACAACTTTGGTTTTACTTCCTTGTTGGAAATTTAATGAGGGAATCAGATGCAGTTAAATTGAATATTCCTTTAGAAAGTCGAATGAAATATTCAAAAAGGTTTTATACTTTGTTTTTATGTTAATTGATCAAGTAAATAGTACCAGAAGCAAAGCAATAATTGACTTAGAAAAAATACAAATCTTACCTAAATTGAATAAAGCTTTCATAGAGTTAATTTAATAAAATAAAGATACCAAAATGATACCTAAGATTATTGAGCGTAAAAAAACTAAAATCTGCTTTATAAGCAACTAATTAGTTCTAAATTACTTTATGGCTGTACTTATGGCAACATTGCACCAACAACTATGGAAACTGTAAGTTCTATGGTATATCAGAAATGAAGATATACACCAAGACTTCAGATAAGGGAGTGTGAAAAACCATATCAAAGACAGAACGCCCTAATCGATTGATTTTGTGGATATTTACAGAAATGTACTCACTGAAATCAAATGTACTATATATTCCTTCAAGAAGATTATCGCATGTTAGTCTTCAAACCACATTTCTGTAAATTCACTTGAATAACTTATTATCAGATTTCAGCGGAGCGATTGTTTAAGTAGATCACCATACGGTAGTACTCGTTACTGTAGGAGTAGTTACAGTAGGAGTAGTTACAGTAGGAGTAGTTACAGTAGAAATAGTTACAGTAGGAGTAGTTACAGTAGGAGTAGTTACAGTAGGAGTAGTTACAGTAGGAATAGTTACAGTAGGAGTAGTTACAGTATGAGTAATTACAGTAGCAGTACTTATAGTAGTAGTAGTTACAGAAGGAGTAATTACAGTAGAAGTAGTTACAGTAGGAGTAGTTACAGTAGGAGTAGTTACAGTTGGAGTAATTACAGTAGGAGTAGTTACAGTAGGAGTAGTTACAGTAGTGGTAGTTACAGTAGGAGTAGTTACAGTAGGAGTAATTACAGTAGTACGGTAAAGATACTATTGAGTAAAGGTATTTTAGACTCTAATGGATGTTACATCAAACAAAGAAGAAGAAGAAGAAGAAGAAGACCTAAGATTTCGAAGTTCGGTTTTAAATTTATAATAAAGTTTAATAATTGAATTTGTGAATTTCAATTTCTCTATATTTTATTTTTTATTTTATTATCAATATTATATTTTTTTTTCTTACATTAATATTATTTTATAGGCTTAATTTTATCATTTACCCTAGTACAACACTATATTATAAAATGTAAATATATATTTCACTGAGCTCCCATTTCAACAATACAGCAATTTAATATTAAGTTTAATTAATACTAAATATTTAATTTCACCAGCTTTATATTAAGTACAAACAGATTTAAGTATAACTGCTTATGTTCTTGAAAACTTTAATATCTGCAATTTTAACTAAAGCAAAAATTCTAAGTATTTTTCCGTTTGACTGCACAAATTTATGGACTTTCCCTCCAGTCAATGCATATACTATATAAAATAAAACTTCTCAACTCATTTAAATGGCAATAAACCACAACTGAACTTTTTGCAACACATCTTTATATAAACTTGGACTGCATAGAATAATACAACCACAAACACGACCAAAACAGGATGAGCAACTGCAGCCAACGCCACAACCGTAACTAGTAACTTTCTATTAAATGACCTCACTGCACTTTTTGTGTTCATTTAATACTTCCTTGTTTACTTGGTTTTATTTCTTTGAGTCCTTTTCAAGTCTCTTGCTCATCCATCAGTCTCTGTCAAATTTGAATTTGCTTTGTTCGCTAACGACCAGGTAGTTACAATGGACCGTGCTCGACTGTGCATCAATCTTTCTGGTGCTTGTGTATCGTAACCGTTATGTCTCGAGGCAATTGTCTAAATGTAAACGACATAACAAGACACCACTCCTCTTCTCCTCTGCCGTTTACTTGTTGTTAGTATGACATGCTTTTGGCCACATGTCGTCATTGTCTGTTAGCCTGTCTATTATTTGTTTCGTTCAGTTACTATTGACAACGTTAGTCTATTTACCTGCTGCTTCCTGTACTGCTGGAGATCTGCATGCTAGCTTAGATTTGGAATAGGTACACGTGTGTAGTTCCAAATGTACATGCACACTGTTGACGTCAATGTACCTCAAACTTCATGTTGACCAAATTGGTGTACTTCTACTTGTTGTTTTGGTCTTCTGTGTTATTTGTCAAATGTTTTATGTCAATTTTTGTTTTCTATTTTTTTTTTTTTGTTGTGGTACATATTCATTCTACCACGCCACTGTGACTGAACCAAATTACTTCTGTGCTCAACTGTGCTGTGTTGCGTTTTGGCTTCCAATATATGCACACTCCCAGAACTGTTGTCTTTATTAAAATGGATATTGCTTTGTTTGGTCCTGCAGGCATTTTATTGAAATTTATGATAATTAAGCCACAGACTTGCCATAGCAAACAAGTGTTCGTATGCTTAATTAAATATCATTGATTCATTAGGCAAAACTATTTCAATGGAATAAACAACACAAGTGCTTTTTACATATTTTTTATTTAGTAAAAATAATTTATATTATTTTAGAAAATAAATTATACGAATTTAATGTATATTAAAAATTAAAACAAATCATTTTCTCTATCGTTGCCAGTTCAAAATCCTTACAGGCATTTGAGGCAAGAACCGATATAAGACCGGGGCATATTGTGATATCATTGATATATTAACCCTCTTTCTCAACCATATTTAGTAAATTATCTGACTTCAACATTCCTGAAAGTAAAAATCTTCTTGTAAAGGATAAAGAAGTTCTTTATCAAGGTAAGGAGTTCCTTAGATAAAGACAGACTAGAGATATAGTTTAATGTGTATTAAAATCCGTTCACCGAAAACAGAGCGGTTCGCATGTGCTGCAATTATCAATGGCGAGACTCTATTTTCCCAATAATAATTGGAGCTCATGCAAAATGAATCTTACTTTGGACAGTGGATTTTAGAATATCAGTAAATATCTATCTTTGGCCAGGGTGTGATATAAAAACTACTCAACTGGCTCAATTCGCTAGAGCAATTTCAAAAAAGTTTTTTGGCCAAAAAAATTGGTTGACTTTTTGTCAAGAATTTTGTTCATAATGATAGCCTTGTGAAATGAAACGTTATATGGCTGATTGAGTGCTTGTTGAAACCTGAAGCTTGTTCCGGCATGAAGAGCTGGAGCAAGCTTCAGGCCCAAACAATGATTGAAAATGGTTAGAATTGATATGTGAAACACAAAAATTTCTTCGACTGTCTTTTTCAAGGTTAAACGAGAATTTTCGGACAACGTTTCCTAGCTTCAGTTCATCTACCACATCTCAACTGCAGTATCACTCATGGGCACGTGTGTGTGATAAAGTCGATTCTCTGTAAGCTTTCTATAATATTTCCAGTGCTTTGGTTTTGAAAACTTATATTTGTAATATTAGATTTAGGACAGTATTATGGTTCGTTGTTTATATCTATTGTAAAAATCGCGAAATCCACAAACTAAATGTAGTAGTGCTCAAATTCCGCGTGAGTGGAGAGAACAGTCTTACCAAAGTAGCAACAAAAAGAATTATGACAATCTTTTAAAGCGAGCTTTCTAAATGGGCTTTCATTTCTGGTACTATCTTGACAGAATACTTAGAATATATTCATTTTGGAGATCACTTAGCGCCTTTGCGCAAGTGACACTTAGCTCATGATAGATCCTGTAGTGATTAAGTGTTTACTAAATTTCCAAAAAAAAATTAATTGATTTCTTAGATTTTTTTAATTTATGAATGTAATATTTTTCATAACATTTATAGAAAAATTTTATTTTAATTATTTTTTGAAGAACTGTTAAGCCTTTATTCTGATCCCAAAGAAATTAATTTCACCTTAACATAATCCAAGGCGCGTTTTAATTTTTTTTTTTAATTAAAATAAAAGTGAATAGAGCACAAAGAAATTTAAATATGGAGTAGAAAATACACTAAAATTGCGTCTGCAGTTGATGGAATAAACGAAAATAAATTAAAAATGTGCTGAAAAGAAGAAATCCTTTGAGACGACAATGGTTTAAAATTATTTGTCTATTAAAAAATATCAAGAAAATGAAACTAAGAAGGAAATGCAATCTCAATCTACGAAAACCCATGAAATGTCTTGAAATTATTTTCTTGTCAGAAACAGTTTAATTCAAACAGACTTCATTATTTTTTTCCAAATAAAAGAAAAACTTAATTGAATGAAATATACAAGAACGTTCAACAACAACTTTATTTCATAACTAAACAGGAATATATTCCTAATTCGTTATTTATCATCACAAATTAAATAAATGGAATTATGAAAGATTATATGGTATTACTTGATTGTGATCGGAACAAACGCTAAGTATTTTTGTCTTATTATATTTGAAGACAATTATCTTTGTCAAGTTTTTTATTTTTATGTGCCGCTATTTTATTTATACCAGTGTACCAAACATAGTGTACTATTTGGTTTTCGTTAATGAACCCTAAATAAACAGTATACTAAACAAAGTCCGCAACACTTCAAAAAATTGTTAGGGTTTCTGTTTATACACTAAAAATACACTGACTTCGGCAAATGATCATTGAAAATTGACTGCCTTCGTGAAGAGATCGTTAAAAAGATCACTACCTTCGGGAAAAGAACACAACGCGAACATTAAAAATTTCACATAAGATGTCAGAAACAGTACACTACCATATTTTAGTGTTACGAATATATAGCTTTCATTTTTAGTGTACTGTTTGTGGTTGTGTTCATGCTATCATTTGTTGATGTACTTATTTCGGACAGGATTCACTATTTATACTACAAACCAACTTGTTTGTTACTACAAGCTACACTAAAATATATAATAAAAAATAAAATATAGATCAAAAAATAATAAATAAAATTTAATTTTACTCTCCCCTTTTGTCGTAAACCAAACTGTTTCATGGTGATCTGCTTAGAGTGGAACCCAAATTGAAATAATTTTTTTAGAAAATAATTTTTATCAATTTTTGCGCCTGTCTAATACAGCATTTTCAAACATTTTGGATAGACTGGGAAGTAGACTAATTGATTTGTATTGTGATCGGTATTCTAGCGGCTTTCCATGTATTGTAATCATTATAATTCCAGATATTTTAAACAGTCGGGAATCATAACAATGGTGTGCGATTATTCTAATTAATAAGGAAATGTATTTTATCCTAGCATTTGGAAGTTCTTTTAACATTTTAGTTGTTATGAGGTCCTCTTCGCATCTGTGCTTAGCAAGATTATTGATTAAGACATTTGATTCGATACGGAGGTTGTATAAAAATGAGATTGTAATGAAAATAGAGTGAACACTTTGCATATTTGAAACTCGGAATTGATCGTTTTACGTTCCTGTAATGGTATGGTTGGTACATGACCAGTTTTTCCTAAACAACAAGCGACCATTTGTTTCGAAGTGCTTTGAGCGGAAACAACTTTTATTGGATTTGGTTCATATTGAGACACCCATACAGTCGATACAGCTGTATTTGGCAGTACTCGATACAGCTGTATGGTCAAACAAAAACTCAATTAAATAAAAACAATAAAATTTTGTTGTGCAATTCACTACTGTTCGAAAAAAATTAAATGTTTTTCAATTAATTACCATTATTTATTATTATATTATTTAAATTTCAAATAAATTAAATAATTTAAATTACAAATAAATTTCTTGCTGCTGGTTTACTTATTGTTTTACACAAAAAAGAAATCAAAACTATAATTCCTTTGCCTTGATCATACATTATTTGACTCATATGTATGTATTCACATATAATATTACCTATAATTATTTAATAATTTTTTTTTTATAATCAACACAAAGTTTCACGGAAATTGAAACCAATGAATTATCAGATATTTCTACTCCTTTACGAGTTATTTATATTTAACGACCTACTATTAGAAGTTTAAAAGGAGTGCGAGACATTTTCTTAATATAAAAGTATTCTTTAACCTAAGAAATCTTTATTAAAATGGATACATCTTATCCCGATTTAATCCGGTTTTCAAAAGTTTTGGTCTATTGTAGTTAATTTCAATCCAGTTTTCTGAATGAACCTCTTTGAAATGAACCTCTTCCTTGTTGAGTCTAATTGAGTGCCTTCCGCGAATATTGAATCACGCTATTTAAATCAGAGACGCTCTATTGTATGTGACTTTTGGTCTTTCTGTCTTTCTCAGCCATCTTCAAATTGCAGTTTTCTTTATTGTTTTTCTTCTGTTTATGCTTTTTCCGCTTATCAGCAAGAAAATTGACAACAAAAAACTTTAGATGAGTGCCAACAAATTTTCCTTTATTTTTCCCGTCTGCCATCGTGCTCATCGAGGATTGCTGAGCGTGTCGCAAACCAAATTGCACCGTGCGGCACGTGATGTCGGCACAACGCCTTGCATTATGCAATGAAAACTTTTTCACATTTCAAACTTCTTTCCGGAATTTCTTATTCCGCCGCTTTTGCTGCTTTCAAGTTTTATTTATTTTATAAGTTTTGCAATTGAGTTTTTCACATTGCAAGTGGAAGAGCATAGAGATTCTCATGTTGTGGATGATGAACACCAAAAACTTGTGCCACAGATATTTTGGCGCCTTGACAGTAAATTGCAATTTTTCGCTTTTACCACGGATTTACTTTTTATTTTGCAATTCGCTGGCGGCAATTTTAATAGCTTTTATTGTTAAGTAAACAATGCTAATGAGTCATACAATTATGTGTGCTTAAATTGAGAAGACTTAAGCAATTATTATTTAATTAATTCAGCTCCAGTTAATCTCTATAGATAATCCACCTGAGGTAAACTTATGCATAATTAATTTTATATAGATTACTGCAAGTATAATAATTGAAGTCAATATTATGAGAAGGTTTTACATACATTCGTCAGAATGCAAGTATATAGCTTTAATCAACAATTATGTCAGTAAAAATTTAAAATGAAGCACTTTTTACTGTAATATTTTACATATGTTAAGCATATTATGCACTCTTATGCTCCATAATAAATCAATTTATATCGAAC